GTGAGAACTATGGCGGGACCGAGTACGCCGAGACATTCTACATGGACGATGCGATGGACAATTACCCAGTGGATAGGAGTGGTGCGCAGCAGACTATCCAGATACCTGACCAAGTTGCGGTTCTATTTCGACTCTGTGCACTTGCATCGTATGGAGTCTGTCTTCCGATGTCTCCTACGGCGGTGACATTGGTATCGATCATTGCGGGAGTCATCATGGTTTTCTACCAAGCAGAGCGACAGTGAGGATTTCAGTATGGCACCGATGGAGGTGGACAGTTCAATCAGCGACAATATTTTCAGGACGGGGGCGCCCAAGCAGGCAAAGCTGAAGACAGCCACGCTGCGGCTGAAGGCTGAACCTGAGGTGGAGACGTACTCAGACGAGAGCATTGAGGATGGACAGATCTACCTGGGGGACAGTGCTCTCCTGAGGCAGTGGCTGGCGAAGCTGGGATCGATGCGTGACAAGAGGGCGAAACACGAGGGCAGCAGCTTCGCAGACATATATAGCAAGGACAAGCACTACGCCAATTCCTTGGGCCGCTGTCTGAAGCTGGGCGCGACGAGAACAGGAGCTGCAGCCTGAATTCGGGTATCGAGACATAAATTGCATACAGCATCACCAAGCCGGCTCAGTTACGATAAGATGCCACTACCATTTTTGTTTTGGTGTTGGATGGTGGAGTTTTTTATTGATGGTTCACTACCATATTTGTGCTTATGTTGGATGGCAGAGACCTTATTGAGATTTCACTACCAACTTCGTTGGGTGGCGCAAGAGATTGCATTGCAAATTGCTGCCAGCTTTGTGTCTGCGCTGGTTGGCTGAGGAGATGCGCGTGCATCCTCCCATCGAAGAGAAGAAGATTGCACCCTCCCAAGTTATTGTATGATTTGTTGCTTCAATATTCGATATGGTATATTGATTTTTGTTGCTGGATATGTTGATTAGATGTTCTGATATTTGCTGGTCAAGATTAGATTTGATAGTTTGACGGGCGTTGTTGGGTGTACGGGCGGCTTTTGGCTGGCCGAGCAGACTGGCACGTTTGTGAATGTTTTGGAGGTTGGCTTCAGAATTGGCTACGCACGCTTCAGCAACAGTTTCTTTCTCTTGTGTGAAAATTGTGGATGCGAGGATGTGAGATTTAGGGTGATAATGAATTAGATTGCCTTTCCCCCCATTTCCGCTGTGGCTGGTAAGCTGGGCGGGAGGGTGGACGCACCTTCTCACGTTTTGCCTTGGGTACTCATATAAACAATTATAAGTTCGCTTATCTTGTGCTTGCATCAAGTGCTTGGTGGGGGGGAATAGTGTGCTCTACATTTACAGAGGATAGGGAGAAGGAGGAGGAGGAGGAAATGGAGGGGATGATGAAGCACATATGGGAGCAGGAATACATGAAGAAGGATGCTAATTAGATGCGCTTGCGCCATATGTCTGGCATCCTGCTCTACCCACCCATCCCTTCCGTTGCGTTGGATCATGTTCTATCCGCCGGCTGGGGTGTCCTAGAGGACCTTGATCTCCCCACTTACCCCAGGGTGCAGTGCGCAGTCAGACAAGGGGGGCTTGTACACTGGAGGAGGGAGAGGAGGTGGTGAATGAGCGGGTGCCAGAGGAGAATGGAGGAAAAGGGTCGGTAAAAGGCAGCGACGAGGAAGTTCTCAAGTCCGGAAGTGTGGCCCGCGCTGGGGCGGCGGCGCCAATCTTAACGACGGAAGTAAATCACCGTTCCCGCAACGTGGCCAACGCTCCAGCGGGAACACCCTTTTTGTCCAGGAGTGGCGTGGGCCCGGATTTCTGTTTTAGTTTGTAGACTGTCCGCGGTGGCGTGCTGGGGTGGGTCGGCGGAACGATGTGCAATACACAGCCTGGCGAAGCCCACTCGTGTTGACCGAAAGTGTGTTTCGCGCGTGCCCGCTCGAGAAAAGTGCGCCCCCCACCCCGGATCCTTGATGAATAGCGGGGTCCGCAGACCCCCGCTTTCTTTTGCAAGCAAGAACCGTCGATAGACAACGGCGTCGGGATACCCTAACGTTATAAAGATGAATCACCAGATGGTGACGTTTGGCAAGCCCGCCCGAGGACGGCGCGCCCTGCCTGCAGGCTTCTCGAGGATGCCTCGAGCCCCGCGCTTGCTCTGCAGAAGGACTCTTTGCTGTGTGCGGGCCTTGCGTGCCGGCTCCTCGGGGGCGTCTCGCGCGAAACGCTTGTTCTGCAGCGCCTGAGCGGCCTGGGCGCCCCAGGTGGCTCTGGGAGTGCGGCGGGGCCGTCATTGACAAGGGATCGTGGCCCTGGGAGCGTGACGCCACTTGGTTTCCTAACGCCCCCGAGCGTGACGAGCGTGGAAACATGCAGGTTCCCAACGCCCCAGGGCGGGGCAAGCGCGAAATCACGTGTGTCCTTGACGCCCCGCAGCGGGACAAGCGGGAAAGCACTTGGGTTCCGAACGCCCCAGAGCGGAACGAATTTGACAACACGTGGGTTCCCAACGCCCCATAACGAGACACGCGTGAAATCAGTTTGGTCCCTAACTCCCCAGAGAGGGACAGGCGTGACGACACATAGTTTCCTAACGCCCCAGAGCGGGACAAGCGTGAAAACACGTGGGTCCCTAACGCCCCAGAGCGGGACACGCGTGAAAACATGGGTTCTTGACGCCCCAGGGCGGGACAAGCGTAAAAGCATGTGATCTAACGCCCCGCAGCGGGACGGCGTATGCCCCCCTCCCCTCGGCGCGTCCTTTGGCTCGTCCTTTGTCGCGTTCCCAGGCTTGTCCCCTGGCGCTTTCCCTGCCCGTTCCGTGGCGCGTCCTTTGCTACGTCCCCTGACACGTTCCCAGCGCATCCCTTAGTGCGCCCCTGGCACATTCCGTCGCGCGTCCATGCGCCCTGCACCCCGTGTCGTCTTTTCCCGTTTCGGAACTGAGTCGGATTTTTTGCTCGAGCTGGTTGAGCGTCCCACACGTTTCGATCGCAACCAGCTCTGGGCCAGCAATGCGCTTATGCAGATCGAGCATAAGATCCAGATCAGTTCGTTCAGGATTCGGATGCCAACGGCGACTTAATCCCCAACGCTGCAGAGCACAACGCAATTCACCGCGGCAGAACACATCTCATGTCCGCACGGCACCGCACAGCACAATCCTTTACACGGTACGTCACGACCGAAACCGTCAGCAAAGCAAGCGCGTGTCGCCCAATCAAGTGATTTGAAAACGCAGCCACGTTTCATTTTTTTTAGCTCTGTTCTGGATGTGTTGGTCGATCATGTTGACAGGATCGGGTACGTTCTGATTGCGGGTGGAAGACAAGTGCGGGATAGGCGGCTTCAAGCCAACACAGTACCAGGGGAGTGAGTTTTGGAGGCGGAGGTGGTGATGGTGGTGGAGGAGTTTGTGGTTGACGAAGCAGGGACGGGGTAGAAGATGGTTGAGGTGGTCGTGGAGGACATAGCGGAGGAGGTGGCAGAGCAGGAGGTGGGGGGGAAAAAGAAGGAGGAAGAAGAGGAGGGGGAGGATGAAAAGGACCAGGAGGAGGGAGGAAGAGGAGGAGTCTGGCACCCGCCGGGGGAAGCGATCGCATTCCAACGAGCATCAAAGCAAAGGCGGCACACCGGCCTTGAAGAGGTCGCCGCGTGGGGCTAAGGACACCCCGCATGCCGGGGACACGGCTCAGACGAATTCACGTCGGTTTCGGCTCGAGCCGCACGGCTCCTGCCCTCCACCGCACGGGCGCCGAGGGACTCGGCCGTAGCCCGATGCTTGGCATCGCTCGGACGTGTGCATTTTTCCGTCGGCGAGGGCCATCGAGGAGCATCCTTGATCATTTGGCGAAAAAAACCACGCACGAAACCAAAAACAAACACAGGAAATGGCCGTCCGAGCGATGGCCAGGATGCGGGAAGCGGGACCAAGCCAACCCCCTCGCCAAGCAGACACCCCCCATCCCACCCAACAGGCGCCGTCGGCCTCGAGGCCTCGGCAGGCGGCCGTGCCAGGGCGGGCTGCTGCTCCGGCCCCATCCTGGGTGCCGGCCAGGCCCTCGGTGCCTCCGAGATCACAGGCGGCCTGTCGACACAGAAGCCTTGGCGATGACGGCCCACTGCCCGCCACTGCAACGGGGAGCACGCGAACAGGCAATCCGACGCGAGAGCAGACCTGCCCCCGGTGGCCTCCTATCTGGCACACCACGGCTCCGCACGAAGAGCACGGATCAATCGAGCCAGCGGCCAGTCCATTCGGGTCGACGACTGCGGCCTCCAGAGCCGAATTGTTCCGAACGGGCCAAGGGGCCAGCTCTAGAAGAAAGCGGCAGCAGGGGCGGCCTCTTCAACTGGGTCGCAGCCTGCCAGGACCCACGAGAGGTCTCTTCATTCTCCTCCCCAGTCCCGCCCGCTCTTGCCCGCCCGTCCCACAACTCCCCGCACACAGGGAGGAAGAGAAGGAAGAGCAGGATCAAGGTCAAAGTCCACATGTTTGAGCCAGTCGAGGCTCACGTCGTGAGGTGAGGAGGGGGAGGAGGGGGAGGAGGAGAAGGAGGAGGAGGAGGAGGAGGAGGAGGAGGAGGAGGAGGAGGGGGAGGGGGGGGAGGAGGAGGAGGAGAGGAGGTAGGAGGGGGAGGAGGCAGGAGGAGGAGGAGGAGGAGGAGGAGGAGGAGGAGGAGGAGGAGGAGGAGGAGGAGGAGGAGGGGAGGAAGGAGGGGAGGAGGAGGGAGGAGGAGGGAGAGGAGGAGGAGAGGGGAGGAGGAAGAGGAGGGAGGAGGAGGAGAGGAGAGGGGGGAGGGGGGGAGGAGGAGAGGAGGAGAGGAGGAGGAGGGAGGAGGAGGAGGAAGAGGAGGAAGAGGGGGAGGAGGAGGAAGGGGAGAGGGAGGAAGGAGGAGGAGGATATAGGAAGAGGAGGAGGAGGAGGAGGAGGAGGAGGAGGAGGAGGAAAATGGAGAAGGAGGTGGAGGAGGTGGGAGGAGGAGGAGGAGGAGGAGGAGGAGGAGGAGGAGGAGGAGGAGGAGGAGGAGGATGGAGGAGCAGCTCACAGACAGGACGCGGCGCGCCGCCACCAGCGGCTCCTGGACACCGCCGCGGAGGCGGCGCAGCGGCTGGATGAAGCCCACGAGGAGGAGCGGCATGGAAGGGAGGACACGGTGTGGCTTCCTCTTTGTCCTCCTCCTCCGTCTCCTTCTTCTTCTCCTTCTCCTCCTCATTTTCCTTTTCCATCCCCTCCTCCTTCTCCTCCTCCACCTCCTCCTCATCATCATCATCATCATCATCATCATCATCATCACCATCATCTTACTCCTCCTCCTCCTGCTCCTGCTCCCCTCAGAGTCGGGGCTGATTTTTTCAAACAGGTCGTTCTCGCACGGCTTCGGCCCCCGGGACCATCACGGATCGGTCCAGCCCCAAGAGTGCGGCCGAAAAATCGGGTCCGGGGCTCTAGTCGTGATTTTCTCGCGGTGTTGCAGCAGGGACGGCGAGATGTCGGGCCGCGCGCAGCCTCGAGAGACACCCCGAGCAGCCCCAGCGGGCCCCCGCAGGGCCCCCGAGTGGCCCCGGGCAGTCTCGGCGCCCCGGCGGCGCCCCCGAGGCGCTCCACGCCCCGGCATGGGGGCGCCGAGGCCGCCCCCGACCGCGCGGAGGGCCCGGTGGGGCAAGCTGCTCCCGCCTCCCTCGCGGCCGCTCTCGCCTGTCTCCCCCTCCTCCCATCGTCAGGAGGAACGCACGCCCCTTGCTGTGGGCGGGCCGTGGGTTAGTGCCGAACGAGAGCCGCTTGGCGCATGGAAAAGAGTTGCTCGCAGTTGCCGGGCTGCTGCTGCCGTCCGTTAACTGTAAGTCGGGCCTGTCCCCCTACAGGGGGATCTTCGACGAAACATAAAAGATACCCCCCTAAATAGCCAAAAAATAATCCAACAATAGTCGGGGACTATTTTTCCCAACCATCCTGTGGTGTTGGGTCCTCGTTTTGCAGAGACGTCGCCCCGCGTTCCTCCTTCCTCATCCTTCCTCCTCCTCCCCTTCCTCCCCCCTCCTCCTCCTCCCACACCCATTCTGGCACACCCCTCACACGTTTCGTGGCCCCATAGGGAGCTCCACCGAAGGCCCCAGTGGCTGCGCCCGCATGCGGTTCCACCCCCCATTCTGGCACACCCCTCACACGTTTCGTGGCCCCATAGGGAGCTCCACCGAAGGCCCCAGTGGCTGCGCCCGCATGCGGTTCCACCCCCCATTCTGGCACACCCCTCACACGTTTCGTGGCCCCATAGGGAGCTCCACCGAAGGCCCCAGTGGCTGCGCCCGCATGCGGTTCCACCCCCCATTCTGGCACACCCCTCACACGTTTCGTGGCCCCATAGGGAGCTCCACCGAAGGCCCCAGTGGCTGCGCCCGCATGCGGTTCCACCCCCCATTCTGGCACACCCCTCACACGTTTCGTGGCCCCATAGGGAGCTCCACCGAAGGCCCCAGCGCCCGCATGCGGTTCCACCGCACCCCTCACACGTTTGCCCCGTGGCCCCATAGCCCGCACCGAAGGCCCCTCCACCCCCCAGTGGCTGCGCCCGCATGCGGTTCCACCCGCATTATGGCACAACCCTCACACGTTTCGTGGCCCCATAGGGAGCTCCACCGAAGGCCCCAGTGGCTGCGCCCGCATGCGGTTCCACCCCCCTTTCTGGCACACCCCTCACACGTTTCGTGGCCCCATAGGGAGCTCCACCGAAGGCCCCAGTGGCTGCGCCCGCATGCGGTTCCACCCCGCATTCTGGCACACCCCTCACACGGTTCGTGGCCCCATAGGGAGCTCCACCGAAGGCCCCAGTGGCTGCGCCCGCATGCGGTTCCACCCCCCGTTCTGGCACACCCCATCACACGTTTCGTGGCCCCCCATAGGGAGCTCCACCGAAGGCCCCAGTGGCTGCGCCGCATGCGGTTCCACCCCGCATTCTGGCACACCCCTCACACGTTTCGTGGCCCATAGGGAGCTCCACCGAAGGCCCCAGTGGTTGCGCCCGCATGCGGTTCCACCTCCATTCTGGCACACCCCTCACACGTTTCGTGGCCCCATAGGGAGCTCCACCGAACGCCCAGTGGCTGCGCTCGCATGCGGTTCCACCCCCCATTCTGGCACACCCCTCACACGCTTCGTGGGTGGCTCCATGGGGAGCTCCACCGAACGCCCCAGTGGCTGCGCTCGCATGTGGTTCCCCCCCCATTTCGGCACACCCCTCACACGGTTCGTGGCCCCATAGAGAGCTCCACCGAAGGCCCCAGTGGCTGCGCTCGCATGCGGTTCCACCCCCCATTTCGGCACACCCCTCACACGTTTCGTGGCTCCATAGGGAGCTCCACCGAAGGCCCCAGTGGCTGCGCCCGCATGCGGTTCCACACCCCATTCTGGCACACCCCTCGCACGTTTCGTGGCCCCATAGGGGGCTCCACCAAAGGTCCCAGTGGCACTGCCCGCTTGCGTCCGCCACCACCCAGCACAGCCCTTGTTCCCTGCGCTTCACCCACCCAGAACAGCGCTTCGTAGCCCTATAGGGAGCTCCACCAAAGGTCCCAGCGGCACCGCCCGCATGCGTCCGCCACCACCCTGCGCAGCCCTTGCTCCCTGCCTGCGTTTCACCCACCCAGTACAGCGCTTCGTGGCCCCATAGGGAGCTCCACCGAAGGTCCCAGTGGCACCGCTTGCATGCGTCCGCCACCACGCAGCACAGCCCTTGCTGACCGCGTCTCACCCACCCAGTACAGCGTTTCGTGGCCCCATAGGGAGCTCCACCGAAGGTCCCAGTGGCACCGCCCGCATGCGTCCGCCACCACCCAGCACAATTGCGGCATTCACAACTGCATATGGTTGGGTCCTTCGCCAGGCTAATTTTAAGATTGCCCAACCATCCTGTGGTGTTGGGTCCTCGTTTTGAAGAGACGTCACCCCGCGTTCCTTCTCCTCTCCTCCTCCTCCTCCTCCTCCTCCTCCTCCTCCTCCTCCTCCTCCTCCTCCTCCTCCTCCTCCTCCTCCTCCCCCCTCCTCCCTGCGTTTCACCCACCCAGTACATCGTTTCGTGGCCCCATAGGGAGCTTCACCGAAGGCTCCAGTGGCTGCGTTCGCATGGTGGCCCCGCCCCATTTCGGCGCCCCCTCACGAGGATCGTGGCCCCATTGGACTCCACCGAAGGCCCAGTGGTAGCGTTCGCATGTGGGACCCGCCCCATTTCGGCACAACCTCATTTTGGATCGTGACCCATAGGGAGCTCCACCGAAGGCCCCAGTGGCTGCGTTCGCATGGGGCCCCGCCCCATTTTGGCGCACCCCTCACGAGGATCGTGGCCCCATAGGGAGCTCCACCGAAGGCCCAGTGGCTGCGTTCGCATGTGGGCCCCGCCCCATTTCGGCGCACCCCTCACGAGGATCGTGGCCCCATAGGGAGCTCCACCGAAGGCGCCAGTGGCAGCGTTCGCATGGCGGCCCCGGGCCATTTCGGCACACCCCTCACGAGGATAGTGGCCCATTATGGGTTTAGTTTCCTCCGAAGGCTCCAGTGAGCGGGTCCGCATGGTGGCCCCGGGCATTCGGCCACCCCTCACGACGATTCGTTGGCCCCATAGGGAGCTCCACCGAAGGCCCCTGTGGATGCGTCTTCGAATGGCCACTGGGGCCCGGGCATTCGGCAACACCGCTCACGAGGAATCGTCCCCATAAGGGGGCTTCCACCGAAGGCCCCAGTGGCAGCGTTTCGCATGGCGGACTCGGGCCATTTCGGACACCCCTCACCGAGGTATTCGTGGCTCCCATTTAGGGAGCTCCATCGAAGGCCCCAGTGGCAGGGTTCGCATGGCGGCCTCGGGCCATTTCGGCACACACCTCACGAGGATCGTGGCCCCATAGGGAGCTCCACCGAAGGCTCCCAGTGGCAGGGTTCGCATGGCGGCCCCGGGCCATTTCGGCACACCCCTCATGAGGATCGTGGCCCCATAGGAGCTCCACCGAAGGCGCCAATGGCAGTCTCCCTCATGGCTCTCAGAACCCTTTCCTGCTTCTGCTCTTCGGTCAGGGGGACGCCGTCCTCGTGGTCGTCGGTGCCCGCGAAGACGGCCACAAACGTGTCCCTGAGCATGTCGGGCTCCGGCGGGAAGCCGTGGCCACATAGGGAGCGCGGGCGAAGATGGTCTTCACAATTGCTGTATCCACAATTGCGTATGGTTGGGTCCTTCGCCAGGCTAATGTTTGACCTTTTTGGGGCATTTGGGGAGTGTTTCTTATTTTTTGTCGAAAATCCACCTGTAGGGGGACACGCCCGACTTAACGTTGGCTTGCGCCTGCCGTTGCCCGGACCGCCCGAGCGCGCGCGCGGGCTGCCTCTGCGGCGCTGCGGCGTCAGGAGCGGAGGTCAGCTGGGACTGCCGTCTCGGGGCGCTGCACGGGGAGCTCTTTTCGTTCGGCAGGGGCTCGGTGTGCCTCGATTGTGTTGCAGTTTGCCCCGGGCTTTCCCAGGATCTGCCGTGGGAGATCGAGGTCTCACTTCTGGGAAGAAGGAGGCCTCGTTCCTTATTTAGGGTGCCTTAGATCCACGCCCCGACCGTATTCAAGGACCCTGTCGAGGCCCGCTGGGACTACGACACCCGGGGGGTCTGGATGCGCGCAGCCCGCAGCCTCATCACCAGGAAGGGGGGAACAGCTTCACGCCGCCTGAAGTGACGTTTCGCTGCATGGTTCGCATTGTTCTGAGGATCGAGAGGTCAGTGTAAGAAATACGCCCGAAGATTTTCCATGTTTTCAGGATCCTCCGTGTTTCCGCATGTTCCACACCAGTTGCGCCGCTAGAAACTTATTGGAAATCCTGGAACTATCAATCCCACGTATCATGGCAGCGTTCTCGTCCGAATTGTTTCGCGCTGAGTTGCGCAACGTAGATTGCACAACATGGATTGCACTAAATTGATTGCACCACATTGATTGCACAACCCAGACTGCGCCGTTGAGATTGCAAGTCGTCGCTGTTTGGGGTCCGCGCTGGTAACATTACTCAAGAGGCTTACGCCACTCCGCCGACCCCCAGAAGAGGTAAGGAGTCAGCGTTTAGCCTTTCATTTGACATTGATTGAAGCTTTCGTTGGCAGTCCAGTGCCTAGCTTGTTGGTCAGCGGCATCTTGAGCGCCAGCATGGGTCTTTTTGTGAAGCCACTGGGGAGCTTCGTGGAGGCAGTTATGAGGCCTCTCGGGGACAGTTCGGGAGCTTTCGGGGGCCTCTTATTGGCCTCGTGGTGGCTCCTGGAGCTGCTTGTTGATTTCGTGGGCGCCTGCTGGCGGTGTCGGGTCTCCTCTTGGGGCGGAGGGCTCGAGATTTCAGTTTGAATGTCTCGGTTGCGCCCCTCTTTGGGGCCTTCGTGAGGCCTTCTTGGGCCGTCTTCGGCGCATCTGGGGCCGCCTCGGGGCTGTATTGTGCCCCTCTTGGGGACCGCTTGGGCCCTCGTGATGCGACCTTTGGAGTCTCTTAGGCAGGCTTGGGCGCGATTGAAACCAAAAAAGGGGAATCTGCTTAAAGTCATCGCTTTCCATTGGAAGTGCGGAGATTCTGACCTCTTGGGGCCCTCGTGGTGGTCCTATTGGAAGCTTATTGGACGCTTTTTGGGCCGCCTTGAGGCCACGTCGGGTGCTTTGGACGCTGGCTGACATTTTCATTACACGTCGGTCGTTGAAAGTAGATATTTCTGGATTTTCAGATCCCAATATACTTCAAGCGCCGTCATACTTCACGAGTCGGTATGCTCTTGCTGTGTCTTGTTATTCTCTGGGCTGGCCCGAACCCGATATACTTTGTCCGCCTTCCTAGTTCATGTGTTACCTACTCCTTCCGAACGACGTGTCTCTTGGGCCGCCCCGAGGCCACCTTGGGTGCTTTGGATGCTGGCTGGCATTATTAGTATTATTAGTATTAGTACTAGTTGTGTTACTCTTCTTCTTATTATGTATATGTGTACTAGTACTATTGCGCGTATTAGTAGCAGTCGTCGTCGTCGACGCCGTCGTAGTAGTAGTAGTAGTAGTAGTAGTAGTAGTAGTAGTAATAGTAGTAGTAGTAGTAGTAGTAGTAGTAGTAGTAGTAGTAGTATTCGTCGTCGTAGTCGTCGTCGTAGTAGTATTCGTAGTCGTAGTCGTTGTAGTGGTAGCAGTAGTAGTACTTGTAGTCGTCGTCGTCGTCGTCGTCGTCGTCGTCGTCGTCGTCGTCGTCGTCGTCGTCGTCGTCGT